CGTGTTTATGCCAAACTAAATAACGCTTTTATTTTTAACTAAAATGCATTTGCGTATGCTTCTTTAAACGTTTTTTCAAATGGCTTTAAATCAAAGTAGATTACTCATATATTCATACTTTAGTTAGGTGTTCAAAATGCAAAAAAAATTCAAAAATGCACATTTAAATATTTTGCGATTTTTTCATTCCATTTTTTAACAGTGTCTTGCCTGCGCCTTTTAGGACATTCTGTAAAACTTGTGTTTGTTTTAGCATACGATCTTTAAATAATGATTGGATTAATAATCCGGAGTCCTTTCGTGGCTATTGGTTAGGTGGTGTTGCTCTCAGGGAGTGTCCTGCGTTGGATTGCAAATCAGGTTTGAGAGCAGTTTCTATCGTGCGTAATTGGTGAGGGTTGACTACTGTCATTCGCACTTTCTTAATGACACCGCCATCGTAGCATTTTAGTGCCATTTAAAGGGTAGGAAGGTCTCCTTTTTTGTTTTTGCAATTGTGCTTAATCAATATTCGTTTCGAAAAGGTTCTACTGTTTTTTTCTTGCTTCACAACACTTGGATTTGCTGTTACACATAAGGAATATGACTTTTCAACTTTTTCACACGTTTTTTAATCGCCAGCTACATTCTCTGTGTTTTTTCATTTGGAAATATTGCAGTTCTCACTCCAGATCTTTACAATGTTAAAGAAACTCTTTCTGTTTTTGTTTCAATCGGGACTACACATTTGTTTGTACATAGGTTTTCTGTTGGAAACGTTGAATCACAGTCTTCTTCGCAAATGTTCGTTCCTATAACCTTCGAACTTTTGTGCCTTCACGGCTTCCGAAGAACATTAACTATTCCAAGCACACCCATCTTCCTATCCTTCTTATCGTCGCCTCTGATAACCAGATATCAGAAGATGCAAGGCTTGTAATCTCCGTTGTGCAATCCCTTCGGCTTGCTGCTCATCCTCTAAATCTGGTGCCTTTCTTCTCCCAAGTACACCGACTCATCCGCGCAAAATTGTTTCAAATGGTCATATTTGGAAACTTCTTGATTTACTTCAGCCTTCCTGCTGTGGTTAAACTGGCTCTTGATGACTACTGCAATACTAATCGCGTGGTATTTATTGCTTTCTTTCAAAACGCACACACCTTGAGAGGCACTCCTGGCAACGACGACTTTGCCATGGTAGGCTCGTTTTCTCTGTAGCGCCTTGAGTTATCCATCCACCCGCAATCAGTGCAAATTAATTTCTAGGAATTGTGTATTTTAAGCTCACAGAAGAGCCATAAGGTGGCTGTGGCGCTGAAATAGAGTTTATTGTTGTCGAGACGGTAAATCTACTCATGGAGACCAAGGAATTCGAGCAATTTAACATATATTTGAAAGAATCATTTTGGTGCATAGTTTCTTCTTCTGAGTTTTATCTCCGGCGTTCCCCTTTGTTTATCTTCCTGCTTCAACCATGGCAGCATAGTGTATTAAATGTACAGATCGTGAACCAAGGTGATGCATTAATTGTAATGATAATGAAAAGACGCTTGACCTCAACAGCCATGATGCGTCTTATCGACCGTGAAAGTTGCACAGTTTTACGTTCTTTGGAAACTCCGCCTGAAGAAAGGTTTTTTTGGTTTTGGGGTCTTAAGAATATAATAAGCGCATTTCATACACCGATTTTTTTGTGAAAGCCTTTTAAATGAAACCATTTAATGGGT